TAGCAATGGCCTCCAATCTAAGAGCAATGGCCTCCAACCGATGGCCTGCAACCAAAGAGCAATGCCCTGCAACCCAAGAGCAATGGCCTCCAACCTAAGAGCGATGGCCTGCAACCTAAGAGCAACGACCTGCAACCTGCTAGCAATGGCCTTCAACCTAAGAGCGATGGCCTCCAACCTAAGAGCGATGGATGGCCTCCAACCTACTAGCAATGGCCTCCAACCTGGCCTCCAACCTAAGAGCAATGGCCTCCAACCTAAGAGCGACGGCCTGCAACCTAAGAGCAATGGCTTGCAACCTAAGAGCAATTGGCCTCCACCCTAAGAGCGATGACCTCCAACCTACTAGCAATGGCCTCCAACCTAAGAGCGATGGCCCTCAACCTAAGAGCGATGGCCTCCAACCTAAGAGCGAGGGCCTCCAACCTACTAGCAATGGCCTCCAACCTAAGAGCCATGGCCTCCAACTTAAGAGCGATGGCCTCCAACCTACTAGCAATGGCCTCCAACCTGGCCTCCAACCTAAGAGCAATGGCCTCCAACCTAAGAGCGATGGCCTCCAACCTAAGAGCGATGGCCTGCAACCTGCGAGCGATGGCCTCCAACCTAAGAGCGATGGCCTCCAACCTAAGAGCGATGGCCTCCAACCTGCTAGCAATGGCCCCTCCAACCTATTTCGTCACAGATTCTTGAAATGGAATTTGGAATGCTTGCTTACAGTTTGAACTGTGAACTGTGTGCTTGATGGTCGCCAATGGAAAGCCTGCTGAGCATGAATCAAGAATGACCTGTTTCTGGTGAAGAATCAAAGGCATGGCCTGGTCAAAACACAACAGCATCGACAGGATCATGTCCATATTACATCCTCTTGAGCTGCCTCATCTGCGGAATTCAGTGTGGTTTGTTGATGGTTTTTCCACCAAATCTGGAGTCTCTCCCTCTCTCTGGGCTCTCCGAACTCCTCCAGTTCCTTCAGAAGCCCCGCGTGGTCCGAGCGAAGGTCTTCGGTGGCACGCACCACCTGGGTCGCACTCCGGCGTCGCCGTGGCGCCCGTGGCGTCCGTGCCGCGCAAACGCTGGGTCGAAGGAAGCAAAGGCCAGGGGTGGCGGATTGAGGGGTCTGTCTGGGGCGGCAGTCCGGACTGGCAGTCCCAGACAGGTCGTGTCTGGGAATTGATAGGTCCAAAGGGTTGATGGGAAAGAACCAGCGCCGAAATTGGAGTCACCAAGTCCAAGAACATACGTTCACTGCGGCGCCGAGCTGCAAAGTATGAAGGGTGAATGAACGCGCCATCCAGTTATAAGAAAGGTTGACAGAAACTACTCTCTTCTCGCTCCGCACTACTGCGATCACCCCGGGTTTCTCAGCAAATTCAGTTGGAAATCCAGTCCCAATCTGAAATAATTGGTTCTTCCAATATATGGGCTTGCTTGCTTGAGATCATTTACATGTGGGGACTGGATACCTTCTTCCATTTCAGCCGGCCGTTACGCCAAACCCCGACACCTAGTCGGCCACGTCCACGCTCCGTGGAGAAAAAAACGCGCCTCGTCGGCAAACAAGGCCTGGAGATGTTGCAGCCTCGGTGGTTGAGACCAGCGGACTGAACACCAACAGCGAAAAGCATGGTAGTTTCCAAACGCGGATGTCCACAAGGCCTGGAAGGAGACGGATGTTAAAAACATAGGTTGAATATACCTGACCTATAACTTTAACCATCAGTTATAACCATCGTATATAGTAACCTATATACTGTAATATACACATTACGTAAGACTATTTTATATATCGAACTGACTGCTTTATACCTCAGCCAGTCCAAGCGATTTTGTTCGCTTCGATTCTCCCAAGGAGGCCACCCATCCTGCAGCGTCTTCACCGCCTGTGTCGCGTCAGGACGAGTTCTGCACGGCGGGAACGAGTTCGACGAGCTCCACCACTCGACGGTTCGACTCTGCTCCGAAAAAGAACACACACGGAAAGGCAAGGGATCTGGGCCGGTTGGAATATCAAATCAAGATCGTCACGAAATGTGCCACCTGGTGCGAATGAGTTGCACTCCGAGGCTGGAGGCTGCATGTCCTCCACTGATTCAATCCAAGGTTCTCATAAATACATAAATATCCCAGACACTCCATGTATGGAATGGACATATTAATGCCCATTGACCCCCCCGAAACCCACCCCAACTGATCGGCCAATTAGTCCCAAACGACTGGTCGTCGTGTCTGGGTATGGCAGTCACAACAGCAGACCGACGAAGCAATCGGCATTACCAGTAGTTGCCTTACCTTGTCACCAGTTGCTTGATGGACCCGACTGCAAGCATCTTCGAACATGGGACATGATCTCATAAACAACGGCCAGGCGGCGGCACGACTGTGTTTGAAACTCCATGGTCTATGAAGATGGTCTATGGAAGAGATCAGGAGGGTCTTAAGCTGCGATTTTCCCCGGCGCACCCTGTTTGAGGATTTTGCTTCCATGGTTTCACAATGTTTGAAAGGTTTAGAGGGTCCAGTCATACCTTCTGAGGAGGCAGGACTGGAGCCCTATGGAACCAAAACATCGCAAGCTGATTCTGCCAAACACGATCGCACTCTCCAGCGGCCCAGTGCTCACCTCAGTGAAGCTCGCCGGAACTGGCGCTTTGGAGCTTTCCTGCCGAACGATTGGAGCGGAACAGCTCCAAAGGGAGCGCTTGAGGAGCAAAGAACTTCAGTGTGTCCGCAGGAAACTCATAGAAAGTCAACCGTTTAGTAATCCGTTTCCTCTGATCTCTCGAAATCCAACCGTTTTGCGGGCCGCTGCACGCCGCTCCTCCGGTAGGGCGCCGCTCTTGGGCGGCTCCTCGGGCAGCGGCCCGGCGGAATTCTTGACCTCTCGGCGCTGGGGACCTCGGCGGTGGAAAGACAAAGCCTTCGATGTGGGAGCCATCAAAGGAGCTGAGATGAAGTCATGGATTTTTTCAAATGTGGGTTCAGTCATGATCAGTGACTCAAACAGTCGAAGAAATCAGACTCAACGTGTTACCGGCAAAAACCCAGCCCATCCATTCGAATCCATTGAATTATAGAAGATTAACCTACATTGGGGTGGTTTTGAGACGTTTGGACAGGGATAATGCAGGTGAGTATTCCACTTAAAGCATCCAACAGATTCTTGAGGAATCTTATCGATCCTGACCTCGCTGCAAAACCGACCGCGCTCTCTGAGGTCTTCACTTGGACTTCTCGTTGGGCTACTGGGGCTGGTGGGCTCCACTTTTGGGCTCTCACCCGGAGCTGTGGCAGGCGCCTGAACAGGAGATGCGCCTGGGACCTCGACGTGATGCAAATTTGGTATGTCCCTCTTCTGCCCTAGGGATCCAAGTACCTTCTCAGAAGGTACTTGGACCCTCCAAACCATAACAGTGCCTCCAATCACCTTCTGAGAAGGTACTTGGATCCCTCGGGCTGAGTATTTGTGTATGACCAAGTCCGAGGTCGACCTGTAGGGCGATGCGTCAAGCGCATAGAACATGTTCTACGAAAGAAATACCGGATCCAGTCGTACCGAACCTCAGGTTCAGTACGACTCGAGCCTCCTGGCATCTACATGTCTCAGTGTCGAACACATCACCGTACGGTGCCGGTGGAATGTTTAGGGAGACTGAAGCTGCTGACGACAGATGGCTGAGTATGGCTGTGGGTCATTGCAGCGGTAAACCCGGGCGGACTCGTCCACCGAGGAAAAGACTAAAAGGGCAATCTGGCGCATCCGCGCGGGTGGCGATGGCCCTTCCCTTGAAACCGGTACCCGGGGTGTTTGTATGTAAGATCTATGACATGCACATGTAATTTAACACACCCAAGATCCCAAACCACAGGAAACCACAGGAAAACAGGAAACTACCTGTGGGATCTATGAACATTATACACCCTTCGCTAAGATTCCCACATGTAAAAAAACAGGAAACCCGTCTATATAGCTCTATAGCGACAGTTCTCAGACGTTCGACGACCTGGCCATGACCCGGTGCTTTCCCTTTTTGCAGGACGTGCTTCACCTGCACATCAGACATCCAACTGCACACCGAACAGCGCGGTCGACCGGTCGTACCCGGCCGCGCGTCTCCGCGTCGCGGAGACCGCGGAGACCGCGCCTTTTCGAGGAGCTCATTCAGCTCGATCAGCAGGGCGTCCAGCACCGAGGGCACCTCGTCCGTTCGTCGCGTGGGAAGGCATGCGCAAACGACCGGTACCGACCGCGCGTGCGTTGCGCGAGCGAGGAAGGTCAGAGAGACCCGGGTCGTTGCACGGGTGGGTTTTCATCGGGTGGTAGTCAGTTGATTTGGAGACAATTGCACTCCTTAAGCCTCGAGCTGGCTGTTTTTCAATATGAATTCATGGGTCCACTCTTTGGAAGATTGCTGATCTATTATATATATATATATCTCTCTCAAGACTGGATGTGATTGAATAGTACTGCTTTTTTGGAAATGATTTATGGTCCGTTTTTGTCATGCCCGGCTCACCACGAAGTGGAGCTGTGGGGGGGTTGCACCCCTTCGAATTGACTCCCTGTCTTCTCCAGAGAGGAAGGTGTAGATTGTCTGGGTGTGAATTAAATGTATAGCAGGCTTCTGGACACATCGACAAAGATCAAGCAAGAGCTGTCAGTGTCATTGTGTGTCCACTGCTAAACAGAACCCACCCAGAATGTAAATCACTGCCCCAACGTCTGTGAGACAGGTCGGAAAACGCATGCAGCCTAGTGCGCACGGGGCCTCAAAAGTGAGCATGTTTGCGGTCCACCACCCCGAAAACGTTCGAATTGATGCTCCTAACTCCTAACGCCTACTGCTCATCGGGATGGGTAGACAGTGTGAGTCAACATGACCTCACCATCATAGTTGATGGACTCAATGAAGATCTCCGATTTGCTGATGGTCAAATCATAAAAGCCATACTGAGCTTCCCCATACCAGTCTTCCGTGTGGTCGGGATCCGGAGTGGCCTCAGAGGTGATTCCACCCCCCCCCACCCGTGACGATACAGGTGATGCCCATGTGGTTCTTGGCATAGTCATCCGGAAACCACAACCTGGTTGCTGGTTTTAACTCACAAAAAATATGAGTCAGTACGGTTCAATCATCCCCAGTTTAAAGGCTGAACATGGTTTAAACATGTCTGAAAAGAACTCTGAAAGCCACCACCAAGCAACTCCTGGTCATGTCGATGGCCTGTCACCAACAAGTCCAAGCCCATGTTCGCCAGGCCCTTGTAGAAGCCCTGCTCATGACCACAGGGGAAATGTGTCACTGCAATCTGCCAGGTCGCTTGACTCTTGGGCAAAAGCTGAGTGACCCAGTCTTTCTGCTCAGCCCACAAGGCGGCAAACCACGCAGGGCAGCTATCCACACTAGTGGGGCCATCGGCTGCTCCGCAGGTGGCAGACGGTTTGTTGTTCTTGCGACTGCACATGTTGTGATTGGGATCCTCCTCAGGAGGCTTGGCATCCACGAAGTTGGAATCCAAAAAGTAGTAATCCACGTCAAAACCCAGATCCGCATAGCTCACCGAGGTCTTGTAGTAAGGGGCCGGTAGCACCCAGCGGTTGGAAGCCCAGGTGTAGGACATCTGTTGATCCCAAGCATTGCCGAACTTGAAGCCTCCCCAGTCATGGTTTCCCAGGACCGAAAACCACGGCTTGTGGCTGAGACCTGCCTTGGAATTGCTCAAGGAGCCGGGATCAAACTTAAAAAAGATCATCAGATGTATGGATTTGGATGTACCCCGGGGAAAGTATGTTTCATATTTCCCGAAAAGGGATGTGTTCTGGATCGTCTCCATTTTGAGGATTGAGCCAGTTCGGGTAAGTAAACCAATCACCTGCTCCACAAAACTGAGATCAAGCCGCCCCTTGGTAGACACCCTCAAAGATCTGATCGAACTGATGCTTCGTAGGGTAAGCGATCTTGTTCATCGGTTCGCCACAGGTCTTCTCGATGCCGCCCCAATAGAAGTTGTCGCCGACATTCAAAATGTACTGAGGATCCTTCAAGGCAGCTCGCGCTTTGAAGGCCTCGGCCACCAGTATTTGTGGATTGTCATCCACACCAGGTACATAGCCACACTCTGGGATGCAGGGTGGTTGACCTCGCGTGTTGAAGCACTCCACCAACTGCTTGTGGTCGCACAACTGCACGGTGTGTGCCTTGTTCCACCGGCTTCGCGGGAAGACGCTGGGTCCCGGCCGCTTGCCCCAGTCGTAGGCCACGATGTTGAGCCGGCCCTGCGCTGTGTCGAGGGAGCCGTCCATGCCGCCCCAGTCGCCAATGGCAAAGATGTGCATCTCCTGATCACGTCAAGATCCATATCATGTCATATCATGTCATATCATCACGTCATCTAAGATCAATGAACCAGGAAAGCAACAAACCACCATGCAACCAAGACATGGAATATATATATATAGTTATATATATATATTTATTTATTATATATTGTCATGTTTTGTCATTGTTTTTTTCACATCATTTGGTTAATCTCTTTCAAATCATATAAGATATTCTTTCCGCTCACCTGAACATGCATCCAAACCGTCGTTCAACTCTACCATGCCATCTCCCCCATCCCCAAAAAGCTGGAATGTCATGTCTACCACCCTGGCTACTAGGAACAAGGGGCATCGCTACTAGGAGCAAGAACGCTACTAGGGGCTCCTGGCATCGCTACTAGTAACAAGAAGCTACTAGGGGCTCCTGGCATTACTACTAGGAGCAAGAACGCTACTAGTAACAAAGGGCATCTCCATCTTCACGGCTCCACCCTCCACATCTTTCTTCTGTGATCTCTCCCCTCCTGAGCGCCATGCACCACGGTGGTGGGCCAGTGCTGTCCTTTATATCCTGAGGATTTGCCGCAAAATCAGCGCCAATCATCGCGAAGTGATCGTGGGGACCAGCTACAAAACCACCAGCTTCCATCCCCAGAAGATCCCCATGCCAGATTCATTCACTCATAGAGGATAATATTACAATATCACTTGTTTTGCAACATTTAAAACAACACACTTCGAACTTGGGTTTTCAGTTAACGCAATTGCCACGTTGGGAAGGAAGGCGATAGAACAGCATGGCGAAAAGTCCGACAACTTGGAAGTGTTTGAACATCGATTGTTTCGCTTGACTCGGCTGCATATCGGCGGTGGTGAACTGACGGCTCAAATCAGCTGCAAAACTGAGGTTTGGGGGTGGAAACATGAAGGACCATGAATCAAAAAGTGGAAAAGTGGAGTCACAGCTTGTGAAAGAACGAGCAGGTACGTCGGCCAGCGTCCTGGCCGATATCCTCAGGGCACTGCAGAGAGCTTTGTTAAGTGGAGCTCTGCAGGCCTGCTCCACTCCCCTGCCTATATCAGGTGGTTGTCCAAGGTAGTTGAAAAGCATGGAAAGAGTGGTGGTGGAAGACCCTTTGTCCAGGGGTGGACACACACACA